GGAGCTAGAGAAAGCCCCATTTCAGTGAGCATGCCTCATTCCCAGGCCTTTTTTTTTTTTTTTTTTTTAAGTAGGCTCCATGGCCAGCATGGAGCCCAACACGGGGCCTGAACTCATGACCCTGAGATCAGGACTCCAGCCAAGATCAAGAGTTGGATGATCAACCGACTGAGACACCCAGACACCCCTCCCCAGGCCTTTTTGATGGGACTGTGCATAATATACACAGATGGGGTCCTCTCCAAGAACAAGATATCCGGTGTGCCTCTTAGGACCTTTGTGGGCCATCTCTACCAGGGTTTAACATGGTGAGGCAGGAGGTTTGAGAGGACATGCTGAAACCTCCTCTTTGTAATTTGCATTTTTTAACCTCACTCATCTCTAGTATTCACTTTGGCAAGTGGAATTAATGTTCTCACATTAAATGAAAACACTGAATTTTTAATAGATTACTTGGGGGTTGGTGATTGTTTGTTACTGTTTCCAATAGAGAAAGGATATGAAGAAATGATATTTTTTCTAGTTTTGCAGTTAGGTTTTATTTTTCTTGCCTAGCCACCTGCTGAATCTTTTGATCCAGCTAGCTTAGGAGGAGAGCCCAGAAAACAGCTCTGGGTCCCCCCATGTAGGCAGCCTCCCTGTTGTATCTATATACCCACTCCTTTGGGCTTGGTGCTATCCCCTGTACGTTGACTTCTGCCTGTTGAATTGGCCACTCTTGTGTCAGGTAATGGTTGATCTTTTTCCTGCTGTGTTTGTTTGGATGGTAGTGGTTAACCTTTCTTCTGTTTTTGCTTCGATGCTGTGTATACTAGACAAGGAGTTGAGAAAAGTATTTAAAAAAAAAAAGTACCCAGAGGCAGCTGGGTGGCTCAGTCGTTAAGCGTCTGCCTTCGGCTCAGGTCATGATCCCAGGGTCCTGGGATCGAGCCCCTCATCGGGCTCCCTGCTTCACGGGAAGCCCACTTCTCTCTCTCCCACTCCCCCTGCTTGTGTTCCCTCTCTCGCTGTGTCTCTCTCTGTCAAATAAATAAATAAAATCTTAAAAAAAAAAGTACCCATTATTCATTATCTACTGCTACTGTCATTATGTGCTGCCTAGGACTCCAAGAGCTTTGCTTCTAGGCCAGTTGATTAACATCTTTGTTTGATGTGCGAGAATCTTCTGAATATGGAGGTTCTTATTCTTCTCCACCATTTACACCTTTCTGGCATGCAATGTACCAGAGTAGAACCATATTGGTGATGGGTTTTTTTGAGGACTGGGAGTGGAGCTGACCGCTGAGAGGCTGAGCAAAGCTAGAGGGGTTGCAGAAGGGTTGAATAGTTGTCAAACTTAGACTAGCTCATGATGGGCCTTTGCCCCGCTGCCATACGTGAATGCTGATATGGCAGCAGATGCCAGAATTGGTCCCTTAAACATCTGCTGACCTGTTTGAAGTCTTTGCTGATTCTCTCAAGTAAGAGTCCTTGCTCCTCTGGGCTACCAACGCACTTTTTGTCCCCATGTATCTCCTTCAGTTTTGTAGCAAATAGTTAATTGTCTAAATGTCTGTTTCTTCTACCACATAAGTCTCTCGACAGTAGGAACGTACTCTCCTCCATCTCAGTTTTCTCATAATCCACAGATTGTGTCCCACTTATAACAGTTGCTCAGTAAATCTTACTGAGTCGAAGTGAGCAAAGCTGGCTGTCTCTATGGAAATACTGCAGCTAGTATCTATGTTTATCAGTTGTGTACTCTTCCATGAGGTAGGAGAGTATCCTTGGAGAAAGCAGACATCATCATCAGAAGTAACATTAGGATAGGCTATTATTGGGCTTTTTTTTTTTTTTAGACAACTTTTCTGGGTATTAATTCACATACCATACAGTTTACCTATTTAAAGTATAAAATACAGTGGTTTTCAGTATGTTCATAGAGTTATGCCACTATCATCACCACAATCAATCTTAGAAAATATTCATCATCCTCAGAAGAAACCCTGTACCTATTCTCTCCAGTCCTTAACCCTAGGCAACCACTAATATATTTTTTGTCTCTATAGATTTGTCTATTCTGGGCATTTTATATAAATGGAATCATACAATATTTGTGCCTAGCTTCTTTCACTTAGCATAATATTTTTAAGGTGCATCCATATTGTAGCATGTGTCAAGCCTAAAGCTTGATGGAAGTTGGGGGGCAGATGATGCTTGTTTTTTGGCTAGTTGTTGTGGCTCAGGCCAGTGATGAATCTGCCTGCTCTCTTGATGACCAAATCTACAGGCATACCATGGAGATATTGTGGGTTCAGTTCTAGACCACCCCAATAAAGCAAATATTTCAATAAAGTGAATCAAATAAATTTTTTAGTTTCCCAGTGCGTATAAAAGTTATGTTTACACTATACTGTAGTCTGTTAAATGTGCAACAGCATTATATCTAAAAAACTGTATATACCTTAATTAAAAATTACTTTATGGTTAAAGTATGGAACCACTACCTGAGCTTTCAGTGAGTTGTAATCTTTTTGTTGGGGAGAATCTTGTCTCAGTGTTCATGGCTGCTGACAGATCAGGGTGGGGATTGTTAAAGGTTGGGATGGATGTGGTAATTTCTTAAAGTAAGACAACAATTAACTTTGCCACATCATTTCTCTGGAGCATACAATGCTGTTTGATAGCATTTTACCCACAGTAGAACTTCTTTCAGAATTGGGGTCAGTCCTTTCAAACTCTGCCTCTGCTTTATCAGCTAAGTTTATATAATATTCTAAATCTTTTGTTATCATTTCAACAGTCTTCATAGCATCTTCACTGGGAATAGATTGCATCTCAAGAAACCGTTTTCTTTGCTCATCCATGAGAAACAACTCCTCATCTGTTAAAGTTTTATCATTAAAACTGGCTGAGATTACAGCCATTCAGTTACATCTTCATCTTCCATATACTTATTCTAGTTCTCTTGCTATTTCTGCCACATCTGCAGCTACTTCTTCCACTTAAGTCTTGAACCCCTCAAAGTTATCCTTAAGTTGGAATCAGCTTCTTCCAAACTCCTGTTATGGTGATAATTTGACCTCTTCCCGTGATCATGATTGTTCTTAATGACATCTAGAATGGTAGATCTTTTCCAAAAGGTTTTCAGTTTACTTTGCCCAGATCCATCAGAGAACTCTCTGGCAGCTATAGTCTTATGAAATGTATATCTTAAATAATAAGACTGGGGGGCACCTGGCTGTTTCAGTTGGAGGCACATGCGACTCCTGATCTCGGGGTGTGAGATCTCTACTAAAATAAGTAAATAAACTTAAAAAAATAATAATAAAACTTGAAAGTTGAAATCCATGGGCTGCAGAATGGATATAGTGTTAGCAGGCATGAAAACAACATTCATTTCATTGTACATCTCCATCAGTGTTCTTGGGTGACCTAGTACATTGTCAATGAGCAGTAATATTTTGAAAGGAATCTATTTTTCTGAGCAGTAGGTCAACAGTGGGCCTAAAATATCCCATAAACTATCTTGTAAACAGATGTGCTGTCATCCAGGCTTTATGGTTCCATTTATAGAGCATAGGCAAAGTATATCTATCATAATTCTTAAGGGCTGTAGGATTTTCAGAATGGTCAATGAGCATTGGCTTCAACATAAAGTCACCAGCTGTATTAATGCCTAGTAAGAGAGTGAGCTTGTCCTTGGAAGCTTTGAAGATTGGCCTTGACCTCTCCTCTTTAGCTGTAAAAGTCCTAGGGGGCATCTTCTTCCAATACAAGGCTGTTTCATCTACATTGAAAAAGCTGCTGTTTACTGGGGGCATCTTCATTAATTACCTTAGCAAGATCTTCTTGATAACCTGCTGCAGCTTCTACATCAGCACTTGCTGCTTTACCTTGCACTTTTATGTCATGGAGATGGCTTCTTTCTTTAAACATCATGAATCAACCTCTGCTAGCTTCCAACTTTTCTTCTTCAGCTTCCTCATCTCTCTCAGCCTTCATAGAATTGCAGAGAGTTAAGGCCTTGCTCTGGATTAGGTTTTGGTTCAAGGGAATGTTGTGGCTGGTTTGATCTATCTAGACCACTAGAACTTTTTTCATATCAGCCATAAAGCTGTTTTGCTTTCTTATCATTCATGTGTTCACTGGAGTAGCACTTTTAATTTCCTTCAAGAACTTTTCTTTTGCATTTGCAACTTGACTAACTGGCTCAAGAGGCCCAGCCTCCAGCCTCTCTCAGCTTTCAACATGTCTTCTGCACTATGCTTAATCATTTCTAGCTGTTGACTTAAAGTGAGAAATGTGCGACTCCTCCTTTTACTTGAACACTTGGAGGGCACTGCAGGGTTATTAATTGGCCTATTTTCAATATTGTTGTGTCTCAGGAAATAGGGAGGCCCACGGAGAGGGAGAGAGACAGTGGAATGGCTGGTCCGTGGAGCAGTCAGAACACACACAATATCTATCAAGTTCACTTGCTTATGTGGGCCCGGTTCATGGTTCCCCAGAACAATCACAATAGTAACCTCAAAGATTCCTGATCACAGATCACCATGACAAATATAATAATAATGATGAAAAAGTTTGAAATATTGTGAGAGTTGCCAAAATGTGACACAAAGTAAGTAAATGCTATTGGAAAAATGGCTCCAATAGATTTACTTGATGTAGGGTTGCCACAGGCTTTCAATTTGTAAAAAACGCAATATCTGCAAAGCACAATAAAGTGAAGGACAATAAAATGAGGTATGCTTGTATTTCATGGAAATTCCATAGAGGAGTTCTGAACTTGCTCCCCTGAGTAATTATGAGAATTAAGCAAGATTATGTCTACAAGTACCTAACCCAATGCTTGGCATATGAAGTGTCTCAGTGACTATTACTTCCTGTGTCCCATTTCAAGTTCTTAGATTTTAGTAAGAATTTGCCAAAGGGAAACAATAGGTAAATTTTTATATGGTACTTTGAGTTTAATATACTGATTTCTCTCTCCGTCCTTTTGTTTTTGTTCTCCCAAGGCTATGCCTTTCTGCTGTTCCAGGAGGAGAGCTCAGTGCAAGCATTGATAGATGCCTGCCTGGAAGAAGACGGGAAGCTATACCTGTGCGTGTCAAGTCCCACCATCAAGGATAAACCGGTAAGTGATATGCAGCCAGCTGGTGCTTTTCTAGAGCACATATGCATTTGGAATAGCTGATCACCTCTTTTCTGTAATGGGAATGCTGGTAACTAGGATCCTCTTACCCAGGGTGACCTTGCTATGCAGCAGAGCTGGACTGTTGTGGATGAGAAACTAATAACAAATTACTCTGTATTTCGTTTTATACCTTTGGGACTGCGTGTAAACAAATGTGTCCTTGTCTTTCACTTTACAGCTCTTTCAAGCTAATTCCTATTCAGTAACTCCGAATTGAAGTAAACAATGCTCTTAGTGGTTTTGGCAACTGGTTTCTGTCATTATTTCAGATCAAGGACAGGAATAATTTATTATTTTTTTTAAAAAGATGGTAATTGGCAATGTTTATGCTCCTGTGAATGCAAGGCATTGTGCTGCGTGGTGCCCACAATGGACTAACTAGAGCCTTCTGGGCCAGGAGCTCACACTCTCAAATGGATAGGCTTCGAACAGGGCAGGAGAAGGCAAGGACAGAGAACATGGACCCCAAACCATAAATAAATGTACACTTACACAGCATTTGTGATAAGAGTTTGTGGTTTCTGAGCCAAAGGGTGTGAGTAAGTTGTTGGGTAAGAGAAGAAGACTGCTTCCTTTCTCCTGACAGAGGCATTATCAGTGGAGAAGGGGCAAGACTATATTCAGAACAACAGTAAAAAAAGAAATTGGTTAACATGGTAGAAGTAGGATGGAGGGAAATTAGGAGGGGGTGAGTTTGTGTATCAAGACTTGGTACTAGGAGTGGGACATAGGGTAAAAACAGTGATACAGACCAAGGGACCAATGCAGGTATCTCTCACGGGACCTACAGCATGTCCTGTCAGACTTACACCAAACATGTGGGGCTTGCTTGGCAGTTAGGTTTATTCTCAGAAATGTGCATGGGGAAAGAGTTGGGGTCAGAAGTTAGAAGTCTTGACTCTAGCTCCTTTAAATTATCTACTTGGCTCAGAATAAGTCACCCAATACTTGCAGAATTTTGATTTCCTTATCTATAAAATGACAGGCATATGGTTTCTCTCTGGATGTTGAGCAGCTCAGGTAAGAGGAAAATGAATGTGAAAGCATTTGGGATTTGTACAAGTATAACTGGATGATGCTATTAGTCCCAAATAGTGCTATAGTTAGGAGAGCAAGTTTAGAGCTTATCTACATGGTAAGGTCTGCTGAAAAGAATGGTGACGTCTAGAACAGGGTTTACAGTTGGTTGCAAAAGAATGATGCTGGGACTTGTCCACCTGTAAGGGGAAGACTGCAGCACGGAAAGCAGAAGGAATTACTAAAGAATGGGGATATTGAATCATAGAATAATTGATGCAGAGGAAGCAAGGATTTTAGCAAGTGTGACACTTGCTGTCACTGTATTTTTCAAATTCTGGGGTCATTACCAAATATTTTAGCAGTTAGCAGACTTGGATAGGTAGCTATACAGGTCGGGAAAAAGAGTAGGGAACCTTTGTTAACTTTGATCTTAATTTAAACAGTGTGGAGAGGCTGTGCTTTGTGACTAGAATGGGAGTATGCAGTGTTTCATCTGAATAAATAATGAGAACGCTGAAGTAACTTCTCTAAATCTCTTTGGAATCGTGTGAGATTAGAAAGACTGATCCCATGTCCCATGTCCGATGCCTGAAAGGTAAATGGTCAACCTCCAGAGAGCCTCTGGAGGCTCTGTAGGAGAGGATTTGAAATATATTTATACATAAAAAAGGCAGAGGGGTAGAGGTCCACATGAAGATAGTTATGCCCAAAGTAGATTTAGAAGCAATTGAATTGAGGGGAGGAGAGTGGAGATGAGCAGATGGGCTTGTGTACCTTGGAAGGGTCACGTCACTGGCTCTGTGGGAGGAAGATATTATGTTTGTCAAGGCAAGCCTTCACCAGGACTGGACATCTCTTGAGAAGGGAATGAGCAGTGGCGGTTGCAGATGGCGGTGGTACGTTGATTGTTTTCCCTCCAAATACATGTATTACCCTGGGCTTGAAGGACTTTTGAAAATAACTAGTGGTAATTATCTGTTTTGGTAATGTTTATGGGGAAACTAACTTCCACTGTTTGTGTTTCTACAAATTTCTGCCTTACTGCAGTTTTCATTTTCTGAACTCAAGTGAAGCGGTTTTATTGGAGCTTGGTGAATTCTGAATGGTGGCTGCTGATCACGTATTTCTTTAACCCAGGCATACTCAGAATTTCCAGCGTAAACAATTTGAATAAAACTTAGGATGGGAAACAGAAAAGTCCCTGAATACCTGTAATTCTGATGAACTGGATCCCATTTTGGGTTCCAGCTCTTTTGGCTCCATTTTTGAAACCTTCTCTTTCTTGGCTTCAGCTCCACATCTATCACTCCCAACCTCATTTGGCCACACTTCCCCACCCCCAAGTTTCGGTACATTCCACCTCATTTTGGATGCTCCCACAGAGAATGAGAGCTGAGTTGAACTACTGGGAGTAAGTGAGGACCTTGGCAATAACTCAAGATAAAGTCAACCCTTGGAACTCATTCACCAAACCTTCTGAGCTATGGCTCTTTTTTGCTTTTTCTACTTCTTAGCTTGGCTACCTTTCAGGATCCTGGTGCCCTCATTCTGTTGTTTAGTTCTTTCTGATGCTCCTTGGATTTCTCCTTGGAAATATACAGTGTTCCAGAATGATCTCACAATTTTCTATCCTTTGACCTTCTCCCTTCCCCCCAATCCAACCCACATTCCCTTTGTGTGGATTAGGTGAATCAGATTGTTTTCCTAATACAGAGCCTGATAGCAAGGTCCCCTCTCCCCTTTCTAAGATCATGTTTGTTTTTTCACTCAAACAAATCCCTAATCAGTGGATTTCAGATAGTATTGGGGAGATACTTTTAGTCAGTGATTACCTTTCATTTATGACCACACGGACTACCTTATGTATAGGTCTGATTCTGAAAGATGGCAGAAGATACTGTATTTATAACTTGTTCAGTTGACTTCTTGGTCCCAAAGAAGGGTAAACAAATTGGCAAGAGCAGGAGTTATTGTAAAGCTCCTAGATGTGTGATTTTTTTTTTTCCTCCTCCAGCAAGAGGAGTTCCATTGCTCAGATGTTCTAAGCATCCCAAAGGATAGCTGTGTTCTTGTCCAGGCTTCCAGTGAAATGGACAGACACTGTGACAGTGGTCTCTCTTGTCAAAGTGACTCCACTTTTTAAACATATAAAAAGACTGAACCTGAAGGTTCAAAGCAGCAAATTGATAGAGCAGGAAACTTGCCATAGACTAACTGAAATAGGGGCCGAAAAACAGTAACCTTCAAGACCAGGTGTGGAAGGAGATGTTTATGGTTCTTACCTTCTAAAACACTTTGGCCAGAGATATGGAATAGTAGACACCTTGAAAGGAGTATCCCAGAAGTTTCCTGCTTCCTCCTCCTCACAATTTATAGCATAATCGCAATTTATAAATATCCTGAAATATGACAGATTGATTTTGCTATAAAGTTGATCCTTGAACAATGGGGTGGGGTGGGGGTAGGGGGTATTAGGGACGCTGACCCCCATGGAGTTGAAAAATCCACATAAAACTTTTGACTCCCCAGAAACTTAACTACCAATACTGTACTATTGACCACAAGCCTTAACAATAACATACACACTTGATTAAACATATTGTATGTTATATGTACTGTATACAGTATTTCTTACAATAAAGAAAGCTAGAGAAATGAGAACGTTACTAAGAAAATCATAAGGAAGAGAAAAAGTGTACTATACTTCATTTATCGAAAAAAATCTGCATATAAGTGGACTTGTGCATTTCAAACCTGTGTTGTTCAAGGGGCAACTGTATATTTAAAGCTGAAGTTTGGTTATTGCTCAGGTAATATGGTCATCCACTCAAAATTTGAAAAACCTAAAATTGAAAAAGAAATGTTGGGAGCAAGGAAGCTGGAAACCAGTTGGAGGCTGGCTCAGTTCTTTAATTTTTAATTCTGTCCGATCTGTCTGTAATTCTGGTTTTTCCTACTTCCGTTTATGTACCAGTGGGATGTCTAGCACTTTTAGTCTCCTCTTTAGGTACAAAGACAGTCCAGATCCTTTTGCTTGGGACTGAAGACCTTCCCAGTCTGACTTCAAGTTTTTTTCAACCTTTCTTTTTTCTGCTTTCCTTCTGAACCCTGTATTCCAGTCAACTGAAATATTTCTGTTCCTGTCTCAATTTCTAATTGCTACACTTATTTTAAGACCCCTCTCAAATGCCATCTCTTTCCTGAAGCCTTCTCTGATTACTACAGCATCTCTAGTGACTCACACCTACTATTATAGCTATCTCCAGCCCACATACAGCCATCTTTTCAAAATAATGTGCCTTCCTCCCTTTAAACTGTGTTTGAGTGCCAACTATGGGCAAGACATTAGAGCTGGTTTTTATGAATTAGACATAAAATCCTGTGTTCAGAAAGTTAATAGTATAATGGGTAGGTAAAACAAGTATATAAATACACAAACCTAAAGAGCCTGGCACATAAAAGTTTTTAAAATATTTGTCAAATTAGGAAAAATAACAAATTCAATGAAGATAAGATTAAGTGCTTTGGAGGGTTCATGTATACCTGGAGTGATGAAAGAAAGCTTCTTGGATGAAGTGTCGTTGGAACTAGGCCTTGAAAGTTGAAAGGGGTTTGGAGATTAGCTAGGGGAGAGGTGGAGCTGTGGAAGTGTGGGAAATGGACATTGCAGAGAAAGGCAACAGTGTGAACACAGATGAGATATTTTGCAGAATGAGTGGAGAACATTTAGTTGGTTAGGTGAAGCACTCTAGAGAACTCTTGGTTAGATGGAGCACAAATGTATGAAAGGGAGCAGAGGGAAATTAAATTGGGAAACTAAGTAGGGGCTGAGTTACAGGGCTCCTTGACTGATGGCCTCAGCCGTTGGGTTTGTGGTATATTTACTTAAACTCTTTCATTCTCCACCTACTACCTCCTAA